GGAGTTTATTAAACTCAACTGAGACAATCTGCCATTTTCATTAAAGTTTAATAAACTATCATCTTGCCTTTATTATTAGTTAGCACATACCTTTAACACGCTGTAAGCTAATGATAGTTATATAAGAGCAGATGCTGCTGGTGCAATAAGCTGTACGTTTTACGTCCAGTGGACGCATGATCTGATTAGTCGACTATGAAAATAATCATTTGTGGCAGCCCTAATTCAGAGCCCACCGAAAATGTGCACACCTGAAAATAAAATGTGTCTACCAGTCATATCTATGAATTGATTGACTGTTGGGGCAAATATGTGTTTGCTTAGTGATCTGTCTGATCACACGAGGGAAATGAAGTCCATTATCATACAATACCATCAAAGTTGTAGGTTGGCTCGCGGTTGGTAGTTGGAACTGTGGTGTTTCTACTCTTTGAGGCTTTGCATTGGAATGCTTAGCAGTTTCTCAACTTCTGAAACCAGCCACCAAAACAAGGTTGGCTAACTTTTGCTTACTGACTGCTGAACCTGATGGAGATCTAAACACAAATCCTGACAGCACAGTTGCTTTCATCTATCTATTTAGTAACAATAGGTAGTTGAAAGGAAGGAACGGCGTTTGTCCGGTTCTCTCCCGTGCACGAGAAACATGAAGAACTTTGCCTACTTCGTGTCTTGCTTGCTGTGTAATTATATTGTCTTCAACGTTCCAGTGAATAGGTTTAAGCTACAAACCTATCAATACACACAACAGACTGGGAGGCAAAAGCACATGACGCAAAAAGAAGAACATGGGACCATGTAGGAAAAACACAAGGACCAGAACTGCAGACATGTTAACGAGACAAGACAAGGAACGCATACAGCCAAGGAGACAGAGAGACCAGACAGACACGAGGACACAACTGGGGAGGCAGGGACACAAAGGGACCTAAGAGGGAACTAACTCACTGGAGCGACCAGATTAATGTTTTTACCAACATCAATTTGAACAAATAAGTTTTTTCTTTCAGTGACAGCACTTCCTGTTTGAGCTTTAAATGGCATCTCTTTCATTTTTCGTTCCTGCTAGTGCAACTTTCATGGCCTTCCCTGCTTAAACTTGTTAACATGCTGTTCTGCATGGCGTGATGTTGCAAATTGCGGAGTGTCAGATTTGTTTCCTTGTGCCTTCGTACACTACGCCAAGGCAGCAGCAAAAGTTGACGTGTGTTGTGATCAGGCTATTCTGATACAGCTGGTAGAGAAAAGTCCAGTTTTTGACTTGAGCATGCCGAAATCCTTCCCTGAGTTACTTTTGACTGAGCTACAGCAGCATACAGCTAGCAACAACTGCCAAAGCGATGGTGTGGGAGGCTTGAAGTGCTGAGGTTCCGTCGCTTGGTTAGCTAACTGTACTGGTTGTAATGGGATGTACTGGAATGAAATCCAGTCTCTGGAAAATAAAATAAAAATTAACTGCATGCTGAAATTTCCAACAATCTGCTTGCTCAACCACCCAACATAATAATATGAACACTATCACTATGACAGTTTAATTGGCACAATTAACTTTTTGGTGTCGGTCACCTGCTTAAAGCAGTCGTCAGTATAGTTTTGTGTGTTTACCATGTGCAGCACACATTTCTGCCAACAGTTCAGTGAGCAGCAGATGAACTGATCTCCAAAAGGCACAAAGTCAGAGAGGAAACTTTTTTTTCTACATTTTAGAAGATTTTTATTTGATGGATTTTCAGAAAAGTGGAGAAAAATGTTGAGTGACTTCAGTTTTAAGTAAAAATAAAAACTAGTGTTTGAATCATTTTTTAAGCTTTGAGTTTTATGAGTCAAAGTGAAATCTGTGCAGCAGAGTTAGTGTTACGTCCTCTAACTTCCTCCAACATACAGCACGTGACTGATGGAAGAAAACATGAGCACGAGTATCACTTCCTGTTTGCTGAAGTAGATTTTCAGTTGTTTAGAAACCAAAGGCTTGTTTTTAAGAGACGGTTTAAATGGGATTGAGGGAATGACGTGTTTGCACTGCAGTTTATATCCAACAACATCAAGCAGTTAAATCAAAGAGTTCATTTTACTAACAGCTCACCTCTCTGCAGCAGACGGAGGCTGGACTTTAAAATTAATCCAGTGATTTCCAGACTGGTCGCTCTTTAAGGACACACAGCTGGGTTTAGGTCCAGGTTTGAGTCTCTGATGGAGCCTAAAAGCAGGTTAAATAAAATTACAGCACATCTAAGCTGATCACATGTGAGACATTGTAACAGTGACATTAGCTTACTCAGATAACTGTCTTTGTTCAAATTTATTGATCAATTTTTTTACTCGGTCGCTCTGTAAGGACACAGAGCTGGGTGGAGGTCCAGGTGGGTTCCTGTGAATAATGATGGAGCAGAGATGTGAGTGCTGAGCTGTGACATGGAGAAGAGTCATGGACAGTTAGAGATGACAGTTAGAGATGGTCATCTCACCTCTGAGCTTTGGTCTGGCTCTCATGTTCCCCACACAGAGTGGCTTTAGAGGGAGGGGCTCCCTCCTCTCTGTCCTCACACTGATCCATGCTGCTGAACTCACATCAGCTCACACACACTTTCTACCTTCACCTGCAGAGGAAACACGAAGCATTCAAGTGCACATCCACTGAGAGCTGCAGAGGTCGTGTCTGACGTGTTGGACTAACATCCACCTGAGACAGTTTTTATCAGTTCATTACAAAAAGTGTCACAGAGCCAAGTTCAGCCTCCAAATCCTCCATTACTGTAGTTCAACAAAGCAGCAGGTCAAACACGGCTGTAGAAATGGCAGCGAGCAGCTTTATTTCAGGACCAAGCTGACTGCTTACACAGTGATCACACTTTAACTGCTAGCTAAGCTAACTAACTAGAAGTTAATCAGCTAAAGAGTTAATGAGCCCAGGACACATTTAAGCCCTTTTCCATTAGTATCAACCCGACTCAGATCGACTGGTGTCCCATTACAGTGTAGAACCACATCAGTGTGGCTGAACGTCACAAACACAACAAAACACATACAATAAAGGATTTTTTCTCTGGCACATAAACAGATGTAGATTTTTGTGCAATGACTTAATGCAAAGGAGAGACTGTTTTTATTTTCTTCAAAATGAGTTATCCTGGCACATCTGTGCCAAATGTTGGTTATTCGTGAAAAAAATATATGATGCACAAACAACAATCACTAAATTCTTTATGACGCTCTGGAAAATTCAAACTATTTACAATGTGCCATGTATAAATTGTTTTCTATGTGCAACACTGAAGCTGTACTAAACCTCTCTTAGAACCAAAAGCTACAAAGTAGAGAAATGTAAAGCTTTTGCTTTTGTTTTACATCAAAGGGGTAAAGTCCATGGATGAGATGAAACATCAGCCACGGTGGCCACGCATTACTGAAGCGAGGTAACCGACCACACTCAGGGATGCCTAACTGAAGGCAGCGACCTGTGCCGTTTTGCCTTTTCCTCCCTACGCCCTGTGCTGCCATGCCTCAAGCACACTAGTACAGCCAGGTTTACATTGTGTCCTCTTCCTCTCGCCTACAGGAAAGGAAGAATGGAAGGTCAATGCAATGCAAGAGGAATTATGGGAAAATGGAGCAAAAACACAGTGGAGGAAAGAAAATGAAACAAAAGTGCACTTCCTCCATCACTGCTGAAGTCAACATGATATGAAATTTCATCACCATTTCTTACCAGTGATGGGGCATCGCTGCGTGGCGTCTGCACCGCTACACCAACTAGAGCTGGGGCACAAGTTCAAGTTCAAATTTTATTCGCCACGTGCAGGTTGCCCTGCAGTGGAATGGACCCGCCTGCAGGTTGCCCCTGCAACAAACAGGGGAGCTTGGAGGGCCATGCTAATCCAGATGTATGAAAAGCCCTCGCATGTAGAAAAGGTTTCACAGCAAAAGGACACAAATGACATTAAATTGGAGGAAAGCGTAGTTCTTCAGCTGTGGCTTGAACTTTATGTTGTTCTCTCAGTAAGCACAAAAACTAGCTGAGGATGGAGTTAGCATAAACAGAGAACTAGCTAGCTTTGTATCTGCAAAGAGACAACAGTGTTATTGAAACATGGCTTGTTCAAAGTGAACAATTACGATTAAACACACGAAGCATTCACAAACGTCACCATGTTCTCCAGCAGTGCCGTGAGTCGAGGCCTCTCTCACTCCAGGTGCTCGCTGGTCAGCGCCCATAAATGACGTCCGTTTGATTAAACCACTTCCTGTCCTGTCTGTTGGACCCACGTCAGCCATTGTGGTCCTTGATGGCCCGGTAATCACTTTTCAGTTTTTAAAGCCACTGGTTACTGTGCATTGGTCCCTTTAGCAGCCAACCTTTGCAATGCGGATCACTTCATTCTGCTTCATCTGAATTTGTTCTTCAGCCACTGTGCACAAAAAGGTCTGCACCTCTTCATTTGACCACAGTGCTGCTTTCTGCCCGTCCGTTTCTTTCACTGTCATCTTAAACATGGTGAGTTTGCTTTGTTTGAAGGAGACCGTCTCATGACACATCTTGTGGTGACAGTGAATCAGTCAATCAGCGACATACAGCCTGGCAACGCCACATTTTAGCACCTGCTTGGATCACCTTGCAACCCCAGTGGAGTAGGTACAAAAAACCCTGAAAACCACAGTTATTCGATCTGCTGACTAATTGAGGCAATATTGAGATGAATTAAGTATATTCATGTAGGATTTGTCACATTAGAAGCCTAACTTCAGTGAGGAGGAAGAGTTTCAGATGGAAGAGAGAAGCTGAAGGTGGTGCTGGAGGCAGATGAAGATGTAAATAAAATAAAATAAAACAAGAATAGAAAGAAAAAAGGAAAATAAAAATGTAAAGATTTTTAATCATCACATATTGTTTGACCTTTAAAAATCCAAATACTTTTAGTCCTAATAGTTACAATACTTTTATACTGTTTATCTGATTGCTGTATCTGTTAATTATCATGTTTTTGTTCCTCGTCTTCTATCAGAAACAGGAAAGAGATGAAAAAAAGATTCTCTTTCTGCTTTTAATTTCTTTGTACCTGCGACAGTAACAATAGACTCTCTGTGAACGTGATCACGACCTTGACAGCATGATGTCATGTGCAAAACCGCTATAGAAACCATCAGGAGTCCAGAAATAAACCTGTGCACCTCCACACTGCCCCACATGTTGAACTCCACCCTGTCCACACAGCTTTAAAAAGTCGTCATTGTTATTTTTCTACACATCATCACTGAAAACATTCAAACCGACTCAATGTGGAGTCTTTTTTTTAATAACTACAAGCATGAAGACATCTTTTACAGACAGGCTATCGGCAACAGTTTAACGGTCGGCCTCATTGGTCCAGCTGTGAGTCCGTTACCGTGAACTATGGAGCGGCAGATGTGTGCTGGAACTAAGCTGCACACAGCTGATGTTAGTCAGGAAACATTACCCACTGCTCGGGTTACCTTCACACGGAGCTTCACACGGAGACGATCAGCATCAGCCACAAACACCAAGAAAAAAAAAGGAACTTTGAGCAGGAAGGAAAGAGTCAGAGAGGCGTTTTGGGACACCGTTACAATCAGGAGCGTTTGAGAAACAGTCAGTGCTGCATTCAGGTGCACGTGGGAAACTCCCAAATCATCTCTGGCAGGTTGTCCAGAGGTGATTTATTTCTGCTGGTTTTCCTGTTTCAAACACAAACATCTGTCATCACTTTGTTCTTCCTGCAGCGTTTGAATAATTCAGCACTAAACTGACGATTGTTCAAAGCTCATTTCAACCTGTTGAAGTCATGAATGAAAGTGCAGACTGAGAGTGGATCACATGATGTTTAAGGTGTGTCATGTGACATGTTCACTATTGTCACATGTCTAGATTTTGCAGTTATGATATCAGGGACAAACACTGATGATTATATTTGAAGAATTATTACTGATGGCAGCAAAGTTTGAATGGAGCTCTCTGTCTGTGCTGATTTGTCGCCCTCTGGAGGTCAAAACACAAACTGCATGATGTCACTGTAACCACCACAGTGACAGGAAGTGTTTTTATGACCAAAACACTGAAATGATGCTAACGGCTGTCGTTAGGCTCACTGACAGCAGTGCTGATGTGTTCATGTCGAACACTGGCTCAGGTCAGACTCCTTCATCCTTCTCCAGCGTGAAGCCGCCCTCAGACACACAGGAGCTCTGACCTTTGACCTCCTGACCCTAACCATTTTAGTCTCTTAGCATCTTTAAATGCAAATCCATCCAAACTGTCGCAGAGCAAAAGAAGCTGGAAGCTGTTCTATGAATGATGTTCATACCAGAGTTTGTGTTTCCAGCTCAGACGTGTTAAACGCTGCTGCGGTGCTACGTTTGTCATTTCCTGCTTTCACTACCATCCATGTCAAAGCGCCGAAGTCATCTGATCACTTTAATGCAGTAAAACAGGAGCTGTAAGTCTGACATTTATTTATTGTCATCACAATCACACACAGCTGGATTAGCATCCAGACAAAGGGCTGAAAAGCTGAAAATTATTTGATTATTATTATTATTATTACTACTACACATCGTGTTTATGTGGAGGCACTTTTCTATCAGTCAGTACTGAAGCAGACGTCACTGATCACATGACTCTGAGGGATGATTCCAGCACCTCGCTGAATCTGAGCCATGAAGATTTAAGGCGGCTCTGAAGGCAAAGCAGGTCTGAGCCTGTGTTAGTGAGCTGTACCTAATAAAGTGGCAGTAAGTGTGTCAAGGACTCAGTCAGTAATGATAAGAGCCAGCAGGGGGCAGCGCAGAGAGGTGAGGCGCTGTCAGAGAAGCAGGTTCACATCAGACTGGTCATATTTCATCATCTATACCTGAAATAATCATCAAACACATGTGGAGCAGAAACATGTGGAAACATCTGGAGCTCAGTCTCAGTTTGAGCCCTCAGAGGTTTACCTCAGTCCTGCTCCTCGCACACATCATGCTGTGTACTGAGAGTCGTGTGGTCAAAGCGAGGCCCTGGTACTCTGACAGAGAGCCAGCACAGTTATCCTAATGTGTGACATCACTTCTAGCCAGAGAGCATTCAGCTTTCACAGCAGCCAACATCCTGTCACACTGAGCATGTGCAAACACAGCTCTCAGCTTCATCACACAAGCTCCACCCTCCACTTAAAAGCCCAGAACAAAGGTTGTGAACAACACAGCACAGACAGAGGTGATGTTCACGCTCTGTGTCTGTGTGGCTGTTCCTCCCTGTTACGTCCCCTGGCTAGTCTAGGGGGGGTTGAAGGGACGAACATAAATGTGGATAGAAAAGGAGGAGCCAAGATGGTAATTTTAAAAGGTTTATTTAATACTGGTGATGGGATCAGACTGAGGTATAACGTCAGGGAGAGCCAAGGCCAACATAACAAACATCCCTGATGTTGAAATAAAAGAAACTTACCTAACTCCAAAGAAACAAAATATACAACCTATAACCATAACCTACCTAACAACGCATAAACAGGAGAAAACAGGGTGTCAAAACAAAAGGCAGCTCTCCCCTACAAGCAATCTGAACATGAAACAATAATGCTCACACAAAATACAAAGGCATGCAAGCCTGCGCAAGTATGGCAACCAAAATGGCCGGAGGGCACAGAAGCACAGCTCCACAGGCCTTAAGTAGTGCTATGCTGATTACCAATTAGCCGGACTCTGCTCAACATCCAATCAGGACAGAGGAGGTGGAGCCTGGACAAAACAAAGGGTTAATAGGGAGAAGAGACATCCTCCTGGGGGATGTAACACTCCCCTACGACCTCTGATGTCAGAGCTGCTAAATTAGACTGTGAAACCAGACTCAAACAGAAAACAGCCTCAAAGACTCAGAGAGAGAGCGCTGCTCCATCTCTGGACCCACCACCAGGCTGCAATGTATTTTTAGATATTCAATTTTCATTTACATTACATATTTGTTTAATATGTGCGTTGAAGGACATGTCCTGGTCAAAAATGACTCCAAGGTTCCTCACAGTGTTACTGGAGGCCAAGGTAATGCC